TCCACGCGCCGGTCGAGCCAGGCGCAGAGATTGCCCGCAGGGTTGGGCGCGGAAGATCGAAGGGGGCCAGTTCGACGCGCGCGTAGACGCGCGGTTGGAGAGCTCCAGCCGGCGAAAGTGAGCTTCTTGCGCAGCTGTCAGAGGGCCGCTCCGCGCGCGCGCGTTTGCGCGTGGGGCCCGCGCCGCGGGGAGTTCACCCGCGCTTCGCTCAGCGACGGCGGTTGCACTGCGAGGGCCGCGAGCGTCCGGCGCAGCAGTAGATCGCTTCAGTACCATGGAGGGCAGTCTCTAACATAATCAAAATCTTGTCCAGAATCAGCACTGCGCTCCAGGAGCTTTGCAGGCGCGTCGTCGAAGGCAAGCTCTACGAGGTCAAATGTCCCGGGCGCGCGAGAATCCGACGACCGACTGCTCGAGGCAGAGGCCTAGCTCGAGCTGCGCTTCGACGCCGAGGAAGAAGAAACCGAAGAGCTCGTCGAAGACAAGGTCTAAACTGGCACCGGCTTCGGGCGAGGGGCCCGCGGCCATGGGCTTGGATTCTCGAGGGGGGCGCGCCCGCGAGGGCGCGCCGACCGAGACCGAGCGCAGCGCTGCAAGCGCGCGTGGCCTCGCAGAAGAGGGCGAGCAGTCGCTCAAAGCGGCGGAATGGATAGCCGCGTGGTAAGCAAAGTGCATGATCGCACCGACCAGAGCAAACTCGTCAACCTCCGCGGCGCTGCCGATCCGACCGAGTCGGCCCAGGGGGTGCCGAAGGCGATCGTGGCCCGCAGCATGTTCGATGTGTCCTCTGAACTTCGAACAGCGCAGACAGCGCTGCAATTTGTGCTCGGCGCCCCCCTCGCGCGCCCAGGGTGCGATGCGAAGTCGGTCGCCAATTCGCGGCGAGCGTGCAATATTCAGAAGCATCGGAAGTCGAGCAGCCGCGTGCGTGTTTGCGGATGTCGCGCCAGCGAGATCGCGGGGCCTCGGCGAAGCCGCCCCCGTGCATGTCGGGGTTGGCCGCGCGGCGAAGCAGCTCCAGAGCGGGCGATGGGGGCCAATGGGCACTTGACCTTCAACGTGGCAGCCCGCTGCGTGCCCCGACCAGGTCGAGGGAATCGCAGCAGCCCTGGCGACGGGGATATGTTCGGTCCAGTGGGCCGTGGAGGGCACCTGGCCATGCGCGAAGTTGAGGGGGGCCTCGACGAAGGCCTCGCTGCGCCAGAAGAATAAGGCCGCGACGACGCCGTCTGCGCCAGAAGGCGCAGGTTCTCTAAGACGCGGGCGTTGCCGATGCAGCCAGGCGTGGAGACGGGCAATTTCTGGGGCGAGCGGCGCGCGGCGCGGACAGGCGCTCCAGCGCTCGCGGCCGAAGAGGCGAGATCGCAGGCCTGCCTGCAAAAAGAAATTGATTCCGGGCCGTCGCGTTGAAGGGGCCGAGAGAAACCCGAAACGAGCGGGCGGGGGCGATCGGCTCGTCGGCGAGGAGCTGCTTCGGCATGAGCCGATCTTATGTCATATGAATAAGACCGCGGTGAAACGAATGTTGCGGCGCGCCAGCTGGCGCGAGACAGGGGGGCCGCCGCGCCCCGCAAGTTTCGATCGCGCTTGAGCTTCGAGAGCAGGAGCAATCCGGCGCAAATCGGCGCCAGCGGCGGGGCCGAGGACTCAGCCCAGATGGGGCGAAGAACTCGCGGCCTTAATGTCGGCGCAGAACGGGGCCGCAACGCGAAGCGCCGCGCGTGCTTCAGAGACTGCGTGGTCTGAGAAAGATGCAATGGCACTGGCTTGCCCTCCGTGCGGGGAGAGATCGTGGCCGTCGCCTCCGCCGCCGCAATGGCATCCGCGAGCGTGGCAGGTGGGGGGCCTCTTCGCCGCGCAGACGATGTCATCGGCGCAAGCCCGAGCGACGCCCTTGCGAGGGGACTCAGGCCGCTGTGGCGGCCTATGTTGACCCGCTGAGAAAGCTGCCATGACGGGCGCCTTAAGTTGCCCTCCCAGCATGCGTCGGTGCATTCTGGGCGGAGGTGATCGCTTCGAGCTCCGCGCACAGATGGTCGATCGCCGAGATGCAGACCCCGGGGGCTTCCATGGGGGCCAATGCAAGGTGCATGCGCCCCCGCGAGAGTCTCGGGAAGGCGGCGCCGCAGTCCATGGCGACAGGGGCCGGTGGGGCCGAGCTCGTGAGCGGCGCGTCGGAGTAGGTCTTGCTCGCCGTGCCCAGCTCTAAAGTGTCGAGGCCGAAGTTCCTCTGGGGAACTGGGCCCTCGCTGAGAACGAGGGGTCCCGGGCCCTTCAGCAGCGCGATGAAGCGCGCGTTGGTGGCCGTGATGATCTTGATTCCGCATTCCGTAAGCCAGGCGCTCTGACCGCAGAGGGGGGCCGCGCGCGCCCCATCGAGACCGAGTCAGCAGGCTCCTCGCCTGTGAGGAGCCAAACTTGCGGCGTGCCGTTCGAGGACTCGCAGAGCGCCTGCCTCGCGAGGAGCCACATCGTCGCGTCTGGTAAGATGTTGGGCCCCAAGTTTTCCGAGGATCTCAACGCCGAGTAGGGGAGGCCACCCAGTCCTTGCTCTGAGCGTTGAAGCCGACGAGCGACGCTTTCCAGCAGCGCGAGCGAAAGCGGCTTGACTTTGCTGACATCAAGCTCAATTGTGTTGGCGCAGCGATGTACCGGGGAAAAAGCTGATGACCGACCGGCTTCGCAGTGAAGACGGGTTGCCACTGCTCAAGCAGGCGAGAGTGCATGTGGAGCTGGCCAATACCGATGTATCTGGCGTAGGTGAATGCCTTGATCCCTTGCAGAACAATGCAGCAGGACAATGGAGACCAGAGTAGGTGTGCCGTTCCAGTGCGTGCAACTGATGACATTACTGCTGGTGTGGACGACATTGGGCGAAGCCTGCCTCCAGCTGCATTCGGCGATCATCAGCATGACACCTGTGGACATCTTCGCCCCACTGCTGAAACGATGGCGCGTGGACCAGTCGCACGGTGCCCGAGGAGGTCGACAAGAAACCAGCAGCTGCAGCATGACTGTCACGAAAACGGGAAGCCAATGCAACATCACTGCGTCACACAGCGAGCGCAATCTGCTCAGCAACCAGCAGCTGAGACCCTAACGAGCCTGGGTCTCCGCGAAGGGTACGACCTCGAACTTCATGACCACATGCACGAACAGCCCACTCGAATCATTCCACTTGGCGGTGAGGAAATGTGTCAGACAAATTCAACTGCGCAGCCACACAATCGCGGAGCACGCGGACAAAAAATTGCGATTCGAAGATGTGGCGCGGAATCTTCTGGTAGTCGGCCAGCTTCTCAGCCCCCTGTGCGAAAGAACACATGTGAGCGGCATGGCCGCTAATATTCTGCTCCGAGATCGCCTCAGGAAGACCAGTGACGCGAGGTACGGCCGTGACCTAGCACATCGCCCAGCCAGGTGGATTGATCCATAATCGGTCGATGATCGAGATCGAGTGACCGTTGGCAGCGAATTTCGTTGGCTCGCCCGAAGAAGCGCCAATGAACGGCGCCAACATACAAAGCCACCGGGCGGCCTGTCTGCAGTCATCTGTTCCCCAGGAACATGAAGCAACACCGGCGACGACTGAACGAATTTGATGTCGCCGTGGACGACGATGGTGATCATGGTGGGGTCACCATGGGATGCCCTGGTGTCCGCCTTGACGGAGTGCTCAACGCGGCGCATCTGAACAGGAAGAAAGGGATGGTTATGGTTGTCTACATCGTGTAATGAATAAGATGGTGGTTCCTCTGCTCAAGTTGAAAACGAAATCGCGTCCTGGGACGAGCTCGCGGGGCACGGCTGAAGCTGGACACCCAGCAGGAAGAATGGTCGCTACATGTCCTTTCACTAACGAGTCCTCGCAGGGGTTGGAGGAAAAGGAGGAGGAAGAGGAGGAAGAGGAGGAGGAGGAGGAGGAGGAGGAGGAGGAGGAGGAGGAGGAGGCGGAGGAGGGGGAGGAGAGGGCCACATCGGCCCCAGCCTGGGCCCCACCGCGCGCCCCGCCTACAGCTCGCTGAGTGCCTTGGCGCGGAGCCGTGTGTGCTGCGCCATTGTCGCCACCACGGCGCAAGACTGCGAGTTTATTGGCACACTCGGCCAGGAGACTGATCAAGGGCCACGAGCGTCGTCACGCTACCGAGCAAAAGCGGCGCGCACAACAAAAAAACTAGGCGTTCACCGCCGGCGGGAGCAGCACAATCACGTCAGCAAGCGCACACCATGTGCGACGTGTACGACGGCAAGAGCGCCAAGCACGACGGGTACCACGAACAAGACAATTGCTTGAACGGGGACGAATGCGACACATATGGTTCGTGCGGCCAGCACGAGCACGCGTATGGCAAATACGACCATGACGGCGATAACGATGAATACCAATACGAAAAATACGACGGCAAGTACGGCGAGTGCGACACGTGCGACGGCAAGGGCTCGCTGGTGATCTGCCAGCGACCTACGCCATGGACCTGCGACCCCCGCGACGCCGTGCCACCCGCGAACCCGCGCACGCGACCCCGTCGTCCCCCCAAATCCTCTTCAAAAGGGCCGTCCCCGCGATCCGTGCTCGCGAGCCAGACTCCAAGCGCGAAAAGGCGATAACGACATCCTGAGGGTGCCCTCGATCTGTGTATGTAGCTGCTTGCAGGTAGAACAGAGAGCACGTGTGCGTTGTTCTAGGGCGAGAGTCGCGTTTCGAAAACGGCCCGCCCTGCATCCATGCAACTGCTGGAAGTTCCAGCACTTCACGGTAGCACGTGGAGGAAATTTGAATCTAAGCACCGGGACCGTCCTACCGGCACGTCTGCTGGTGCGACAAAGTGGAGTTACGGATGAAGACGTGAGGAAGATGAAGAGAAGGATGATGTGGCGGAACACGGCGGATGGGGAGAAGAGGAGGATGATACGTAGAAAGAAAAGGACGACGGCGGCGGTGATGAGGGTGGCTCTCGGTCTGGCCCTTGTCGCTATCAGCGGAGGCGGCGGGGTGTCGCCTGTCGCAGAGCCCCGTGGCCAGCGATCCCGAAGGTCGCCGATTCAGCAAGGTCGGGTTCTCCACGGCCTGGCGGGTAGCATCACGTGGCATGCGAGTCCCACCAGCCCTTGGGGGCGTGAGGCGTTTTCTCTATGCCCCCCCCCCTGATCCCAATTACTGAGCACCCCCTTCACCAGGCGACCGGCAGCCAACCAGGACCAATGCCAATACCCCCCCCCGTCCCAGTCAAGCGCAATACAAAGCGCATGTTGGGGGGAAATCTTGGGTCATGCTCGTGGGCCCCGCGAGCACTTGTATTGCTTTTTGACTGCGACGGCGGGGGTGCCTTCATATTGTCTGCTTTGCGCAAGACCACAATCCTTGTCAAAAGATAATGCAACATGCACTTCGCGGCTAAATCTGGATCGTGCACGGCCGCCCCGCGATCACTGTCCATCGGTTTTTGGCAATGACCGCAGGGGTACTGGCATCTTGCCTGCTGTGCGCAGGCCCACCAGACACCATGATGGCGTCCTCGCCGCGATTGTGCACTGGTTTTCGAGAAGGAAGGATGGTAAGAAGGATGGTGGGGGCTGGCATGCTTCCCGATGTGTGCTGTCACGTGCGCGGGCGCACCCGGCACACTTTGCGTGCCCTGGACGTGGCGCACCTGGCGCGGCTGGGCCATGCGGTACACATGGCGCACGTGGAGCACGTGGCGCGCGAGGCGTGCCTGGCACGCTTGGGCCCCAGGGGCGCCTGGCGCATCTGGAGCGCCGGGCACGCGTGGAGCTCCTCACCCTATAGCGCACATGGGGTCTGCAACCGCTGATCATGCTGAGGCCCCAGGGGTGTTACCTATATCCTGGGAGGGCGGGCGGGAGTGATTGAGACAGCTTGCGGGCGGGGAGGTTGTCTTGACCCCTCCCCCTCTTCCTTCCCCCTGGGTCTGGAGGGGGCGTTTCGCGGTCCGTTGGGGCGTCCAAGATGGCCTCGGCGAGGAAGGCAAAATCATTGATTTTTCCCCCCAAAAAAATATGGCCACATTTTGGCATCCACTGGGGGCGGGGGGACCTAATTGGGGAGCTCCCCTCCTTTGACCGATGGCCCAAAGATGTCCGCCGAGGCTCCCGAAGGTGCCCAAAGGCGGCCCCAGGAGGTGCCCAGGATGTCCCAAGAGGTCCCAAGAGGCTCCCAATAGGTTCCCAATAGGCTCCCAAGAGACCCCCAAAAGGTCCCCCATAACTAGGCACCCAAGACGCACCAAGAGGCCTCCGCGAGAAAGCCAACATCATTGATGTTTTACTAAAGTTGTGGCAACATTTTGGCATCCGGGGGGGGGAACCAAAATAAGGAGCCCCCCTCCTTTGATCGATCTACGTCAAGGTGGCCCCAAGATGACCCCCCAAGCTTCCAAGCGTCCACAAGACGGCCCCAAGAGGTGCCCAGGATGCCCCAAGAGGCCCCCACGATACCCTTAAGATGCCCCCAAGAGGCGCCCAAGAGACCCCCAAGAGGCTCCAAGATGCCCCCCAAGAGGTTCCCAAGCCGCCCCAAGAGGCCTCCAGGACTGCTAAGAGACCCCCGAGACGCCCTCAAAGGACTCCGAGAAACTCTCGAAAGAAATCCGAAGAGACTCCGAGAGGCATCCAAGAGGCTCTGGCCTTTCTGCTCGCCCTCCTCCTCTCCCTCCTCCTCTTCTTCATCCGCCTGTTCCTCCTCCTCCTCATTCCTCGTCCCTCCTCGCCCTCCCCCTCTTCCCCCTCTTCCTCCTCCTCCTCCTCCTCCTCCTTCTCCTCTTGCTCCTCCTCCGATTCCTCCTCCATCCTGCACCTCTTGGGGTACGACGCCTTACCCCATATGTTTTCCACTGCATTATGTTTTCTGTTGCATTCCACTCCACATCCCTAATCCAGACAGCTCGCCTTAGCATCGTTTCTGGATGAGCTGGTGGGGGAACTTTTGTTCGCGAGCGTCACGGTCCGACCGCGCCGAAAGTAACAAGGCAGCTGGGGGGGGGGGGGGGACTTTTTTGTTCGCAACCGCAAGCGGACAGCCGCGCGGCGTCAGAGTTCAACGAAAGCCAGGCCTACGTGGAACAACTCTGGTGGGGTTACGTAAAGCGTCTAGAATCCGCCGACCCCCGCTTGCAAGGGGTGAGAAGGCGTGTGAGATCATTGGCTGTCCCCCTCTCCCCTTCCCCCTCCGTGAAATCCTTTTTGAAGGGGGGGCATCAGGGCTCGCCGGCGCAACCCCGAAGACTCTGGAGCTTCCAAATCTGCCTTCCGCGGCCTCAAAGATGTTCCAAGACGGTCCCGAATCGCGGAACGATTGGCCTAAGACGCTTATGGTGGCTCCAAGACGCCCGAAGACGCCTTCGAGACGCCCCAAGAGCCGTCCCAAGAGGGCCCCGAGAGGCAATCATCAATGGTGTTTCTTTGGTTGTTCAATGTTTCTGGGGTTACCGTCTTCTCGAGCTTCCGACGCTCCAAGGCGGCCCAAGAAGCCATGGGCCGCCTCAAAACTGCCCAAGAGGCCCCTGCGAGAGCCCCAGGACGGCCCAACAGGGTTCCAAGATGGTCGAAAGAGAGGCCCAAGACGGCCAAATATCGCCCCAAGAGAAGCAAAGAGGGAAAACACAAACCGAACATCCTATGTTCCCCCCTCAGGAGGCCCCAAGAAGCCCCCGAGCGGCCCAAAAGAGGCCCCCAATACGCCCCAAGAGGCCCCCATGAGGCCCCCAAGCGGGCCACAAGACGCTTCGAAACTGCCCCCCAGACGCAACGCCAGGCCCCCAAACAGCTCCCAAGAAGCCTAGACGAGTCTCCAAATGGTGCTCAAGAAACCCACGTCGCCTCAACCGTGGACTCCCCGTCTCTTCTGGGGTCGGCGGAATGGCGCAAGCCAGTTGAACAACACCTTTCTCAACCACTGTACCTATTTCCTCTACGACTCCTGAAGAGCGACCTGGAGACACGAACGCTCGAATACTGGACAACAAGGGCTGCTCGTTTTTTTTTGGGGGGGGTCCCCCCCCCGAGGGGCGATACCTATGGGTTGCCAGTCAGCTGCTGCACGTGCAGCAGCTCTCTCCTGGACTCGTCCAAGGAGAGACTGCACTCCAGCCGTCTGCACGAGTCGGTCCAGCTGCGAGGTGCGCTGGCCTGTCTCGGGCGGTGGTGGGAGGCTGATCGCATACTGCATGTGCCCCACTCCTCGCCTCGACGTCTGCGAGACTCGCGCACTGGTTTCGCGCGCATGTGGGTGCAGGCCTGCATAGATGCGCTTCAAAGCATTTGAAGCGCCAGCAAGTCATTTTTGCTGGCACTCCTTACCCAGCAAAAAACATCGACGCGTGGTATAGGCGCCACACGTCGTACAAAAATAAAGCACTGTTTCACGTCCACGACTCCTACTGCGGTCGTCATCGGTTTCTTGGCGAGTGACGATCGCGTGGGCCAATGCGCGGCCCGCGTTAAACATGAAAGCCCCCTTCCATGTTATATTCGGTCCAGGGCATCCAAGCAAGGGGCCGGTGTCTATATCACTACTTAACTTTAAAAACCTGATGCGCCCAGCTCTGCCGCCTTCAAACTTCTCCTAACTGTGCCGGCCTCCAGACTTCAGGGAACGGACCCGAGGTCCATGGGGGGGGCGCTCGAATTCTCGAGAGGAAAAACACGCAAAACTTTGGCCAGCACGCGGGCCGCAAACAACAGTTTGCCCAGGGAGAGCCTAAGCACGTCCGATACTTGGGGGGAGGGCGAGGGGTGCAAGGGGATGGAATGCTTGGCGAGGATGTCTGCGTTCCAGTTTCCCACGGCAACACGCTTTTTCGGCGGCTTGAAGAGTATCCATCAAACTGCGAGCCCTATGCGCAGGTGCGTGACATGCTTCAGCCACATGATCCCGTTTTTCGTGTACTCGTGAGCCTCTTCTCATACCTGCGTAACGATGACGGCGATCGACCTGATGTTGATGGGGGCGCTTTACAAAGTTTCACAACTGTCATGCAATCGCTGTAGCGGGCGCCCGAGCGTTCGACGAATAACGGGATCAGCGCCATGGCCTGGTGCTCCGCGGACTGCGGAGTCTGGGGCAGGCAGTCCCAGGTCGCGCCTACCGCGTAGGCCAACATTTCCTCGTCAGGTCCCAGAGAAAAAAAATAGGAAGCTCGGGAGAGTTCGCGGATTGAGTGCCGCGCGCGCGATCCGTCCATGCAGATATCACAACCACTCAAATCGAGACTTCCCCACTCTAACCCTTCTCGTTGGGGGCTGAGCAGTTTCGGTTTGGGGTCGCTGCTGGGGGGGGGGGGGCTGTTTTCGGGGCGCTCCATTTTCAATTCACCCCAGACGCTCCTGCAATCGCTGTCAGTTGCTTCCTGCAGCCACGAATCGCTGTCTCCTGCTGCATCGGCGTGAGCTTCTACTGCCGCAGGGGCTCGACACTGCCACGCGCGGTGCCTTGCCGAGTCGGGCTGTCCGCAGAGTGGACACAGACCGTCGCAGGCGTAACCTGAGGATCGTGCTCGAGCACGTGTCCAGGCGCCTCCGCAAAAACAAGTGATGGCCGTATGCTTTTCACGTTGAATCAACTTTTTGGAGCGGGGGCCCATGAGTTTCTGCAGGGGGCCCACGACGACGCGACTTCCAGGGGGGGGCGGGGCAAGCGCGGCCAGCTTGCGCTCGTGACCTCGCTGGGTGGTTAACATCAGCAAGTGTCCGACCATGGGTGTGGAATTGTAGGCGAGGTGAATTTCACCGCCGTAGCCGCCCTCCCAAGTGAGAGCAGATGTGGCGCACCAGCCGAGCCTGAGGAGAGACAGGTGCACGCGCTGAATGGGTCCACGAGAACCCCTCCAGCGCGCATCTCCATTGAAGGGCGCAGCCCCCCACATCTGGCATTTCTTTGACATTATAGAACGAGGTGACAGAGTCAGTAACAGCTAGCCACAACATGTGTGACCAATGCGAGGCCGGTGCCACTCCCGCCCCCCAGACAGGATCTCCAGAACAAAAAACACAACTTTGCCGTGGGCGGGTAACGTTTTTGACGAGATATCCTGTACGACAACATGACGCGACGGGCTTCTCTCAACTCATGATCGCTCATGCCGACGACAGCTGGCCCGAAAGTGGCGGCAGGCTGCGCGCCTGCGGCATAAATCTCACCAGTGCGACCATTTTGTCGCGGGGGACTGCGTCTGTATCTCAGAAGGACCTCGCGTCGTCCGTACACGCACCTGGGCCCAACCTTACGCTTGCACAACGCATTCTTACTCGACCGTCTCTGGCCAGGGGCGAGGTCCGTTCCAAGACTAACCGTGCTATTCGGGACATGCCCAGCCATGTCGCCTAGCAGTCTACCTAACAGTCGAGCCCAACTATAGAACTGCCAAAGGTGGTGGGCGTATCAGCCTTGACGCCAACTTTCAACTCACCACGGAAAAGGAGGAATATACTAGCACATGCTTTGACCATCCGCTCGAGCGCTACAGTCTCTGGCCCTCCCTCTGTCGTCAAGGCGTCGTCGTCAACGTGCGAGGAGAGAGGCGCAAGAGGGTGGCTGCTGCAGAAGCGGTCGAACGCGTCGATGCTGTAGACGCGGGCGAACAGGTCGTTGAACATGTCTCCGGCAGGGAGACCACTGAGCGCGAAGTACGGGGTAACGTTGTACATGCAACCGGGCCTAAGGATGCGAGGTCCTCTCCAAAAGTTGTGCGTAGTTTCAACAATGACGTCGTTAAACCCGAACCTGAGCGTTCTCTGTTTTAAGAGATCAAGATCGAAACTTGCATAATACTTGGTCCCGTCCCAGGTCACTCGAAGCGCAACTTTTCCAGAGGCCCGCGCCACCTCGGCTCGAAACGCCCGGTGCCGCGCAGCGCCCTCGGCGCCCCGACCAGGTCCGAAGGCCCAGAAGCGCCGAATGTACTTAGTGTTGAATTCCAACAAGTGAGGACGTCTTAAGCGCCCCCAAACTGTGACGGGCCCCGCGCGCAACAAGATCGGACGCGCCCCCCCGCCCCCCCCCCCCCCCCCCCCCCCCCCCCCCCCCCCCCCCCCCCCCCCCTCTTCGATTTTTCAAGCAAGGGAAACAGCATCCATGACAGCTGCTTATGGTAGAGCGCTAAGGCCTCGACGGCCCGATACATGGCCCCCAGGGTGTCCAAGGCGGCATCAGAGACCAAAGACAGCTGGCGGGGGTGTAATCCGCCCAGGGATTGAGAGGTCAACTCAGAAAAACTATTGCTAACACTACGAATCTCAACAGCCGGCGCACGTGGTAGGTGCTGTCGGTCCAACGCTTCTACCGTCGCAAGGGAGGTGCCAGCGTGCCGGGAACGAGCCAAGGCCTTGCCTTCGGCATCGAGAATAGCACGTGGGTTACTCGTAAACTGTCCAGACGAGGTCTGGACGACCGTAGGGTTCCATTTTTCCTTAAGCTTAATAAGGCGGTGCGTGGTCCTGGCCCCCCCGAGAGCGCTTTCTCCTGCATTCATCCCAGGAATCTAGCTCTAGGTCGCCACTCCAGGAGTCGATGCACTCCTGGGCACCCTGGGGCCACATGTCCGAAGTGGACGTCCACCTGCCAACTAAAACCAGTTATCGCTACGTCTCAGGGGGCAGGCGGGGGGCCAGCGAAGCTGACAGGATACACAGTCTCTGACAGCGGGACGTGCAGCAACGCCGCGAAGCGGCCTATGAGGAGGTTCTGTTTCAACCACACACTGCACGAGGGCCCAGACGGGCCAAATATATATATATATATATACACATAATCATTCATCGGGAGGCCGATTGAGATCCATATAACCTCAACCAAATCACAATCAACAAAAACTCGAGTTGCGATCGGCATCAGAAGATTCTCAGTCCCACGTGTCGTGAGAGCAGGGCCGGGCAAAGCGTGCAAATAGGGAGGGGAGCTTGAGCGGACACGAAAGACAGGCAGGGCAGGACGGGGGATATAACCTGCACTACTATCTTACACGGCCCACCCCACCACACCACCCCGAGACGCGATCAATTAAGTTTGGAAAGCGATCATTATCGCTACGTCTCAGGGGGCAGGCGGGGGGCCAGCGAAGCTGACAGGATGCACAGTCTCTGACAGCGGGACGTGCAGCAACGCCGCGAAGCGGCCTATGAGGAGGTACTGTTTCAACCACACACTGCACGAGGGCCCAGACGGGCCAAAGATATATATATATATATATATATATATAATCATTCATCGGGAGGCCGATAGAGATCCATATAACCTCAACCAAATCACAACCAACAAAAACTCGAGTTGCGATCGGCATCAGAAGATTCTCAGTCCCACTCCCGCATTTGATGTGCCTGGCGTAGCCGACAAAAACTACATGTTGTGGCCAGGGCGGGCGGGCGGGGGCCACAACGACGAAACTCATGCGACCGACCAAGCTCACCGTGGGGTGGTGGTCGCGCCCGTAGGCCACCACCTCTAGGGGGCCCTCGTATGGCGCCCCTAGCCGCCCCCATGGGGCGCCCCCATTTGGCCTGTCGCCTCACTCTGTCCACCATCCAGTGCCCTCTCCCCACGTCTCGTCGGAGTAGAGGTCGTCGGACTCTGGGCAGCTTGTGTCACCCTTGGTGGACCTCTTGTTGGTGGTGGACCTATTGTTGGTGGTGGACCTCTTGTCGGTGGTGAGTCCCAGCATCAGGAGCTCTGCGGCGACATCTTTCACCTTCTTCGTCTTCAGATTCGTCCTGATGCCGTCGACCAGCTGCTGCTGTTGCTTGCTGTAGTTGGTGCGGGACTCCATCGCACGGAGTATCTCGGCGGCCAGGTCGGAGGTCGCACGGGATCCCACGTCCAGCACCTTCTTCGGCATTTTTGCACGGAACTGCGTGAGGGCGAACGTCTTAGAGTAGCGTTGGACGCTGGACAATGCCTTCCACCTGCCCCGCCTCCGCACCTGCTCCAGGCTGGCCCGTCCTCGGGCCACGTCCTCGCTGGGCCCCGAGTGGCGGAGCCCGTGCGGAGGCGGCGCCCATGGCATCCCCAGCGAGCGACATGCGCGGTGCCACTCTTTGCGGAAGCCTGCCTGCTTGGGGCCGAAGATGGGCCCCGCGACATTCTTCTTGACGTCCTTCAGGGCCAGGATGAGGCTCGCGACCGTGCCGCGGCGGATGACGACCCCTTGGTTGCCGCCCGTCTTGCCCTCCTCGCCTCGGGCCGAGATGCCAAACAGGAGGCCCACGCATCGGCCATCCCAGATGATATCGGCCTCGCGTAGCACCTCCATGTCCTGCTCCCGCCCGTAGACGTCGTACTGCACCAGGGTCCAGATGGCTTCATCCAGGAGCCCCGCCTCGAAGAAGTAGATGGCGATGGCGAAGGCGGCTTCCTCAGGGAGAGGACCCCCTTCCACAAAGATAACCAGCCTCTGCCAGCTCTTCAGGCTTCGCAAGGCCAGGGGAAGCTGGTTCCTCAGCTCAGGCCAAATCGCCAGCAGCCCAAACAAGACAATCGACCCCCATGTAGGACGGAGCCGGTCCATGTAGCACTTCATGTCCATGTAGTCGGCCAGGGCGTGGTCCACGGCGTTCGCGGACCGCAGCTCCCAACCCTTGTCGACACAGTGGCTGAGAAAGTCTCGAACCTTCGGGGCCCACTGCGCCGCGGTGACGTCCGCCACGGAGTGGGTGAGCAGCCTTGTGAAGCCGCCCTCGCTGATGCCCAGGTGCGGCTCCTTCTCGTAGTTCTCCCACGCACGTGGCCCTCGCTTCTGCAGGGGGATGTCTCCCGCCCTGGGTGGCTTCGGGCAGACCGCACCAGCAGGGTGGACTGCCTCCAATGCCATGGCGGCTACCCACCAGCGTATCCCGTACAGGCGCGGCCCAGGTCGCGTAGATCGTGACCTCGGCTGTCCGTTGGAGCGGGGTGTCGGTCGCTGTGAGCTGCTACCGTCTCGGGCGCCGCGCCGAGGAAGCCCCCCCGAGAGAGGCCGTCGGCGATGTTCAGCTCCGACGGGACGTCGCGGTAGTACCCTTGAATCGCGAAGCTCATGGTGATCGCCGCCGCCTGGCGGCACAAGCGCAGCAGGGCTGGTGAGCTCGAGCGGCCCTTGCCCAGGGCCTCCAGAGCTACCATACTGTCTGTGAGGATCAGGACCTTCCGCCTCCACATCCGTGATGATCTGGCCAGGTGTCGCAGCAGGCCCACCACGGCCCGCGTCTCGTTGATGTTCGTGTGCTCCGTGATCCTCCACCTCCCGAAGTAGAGTGGCCGCCATCTCGCGATCGGCATCCAAGCGGGGGACAGCGGGGGGACTCTGACTCGATCGCCCCGCCTCACCTCGATCCTCGCCCTCCCCGGCCTTGGCGGGCCGAAGGACGAAGTAGATGGAGACGCGCGCGAGCCCGTTGGATCAGGGCCACTCATCTCCCTCGTCATGCGGGCGAAAGCCTCGATGATCACCTCCGCCAGCGCGGCGCACAGCGGCGGCTGGTACGCCTGGGCGGAGGCGGTGCAGAAATCGGGACGGCCTCGCTCCGCCCGTCCCTTGAGTTCTGTCTGATGCCTCCCTCGGTGGTTGCACCTCAAGCGGAGACGGTCCGCGGCGAAGTCCAGTGTGTCGCCGTAGAACCCGAAAATGCCAATCATGGTCGGCTTCATCGATGGGGCTCCGTAGCGGCACTGGTCGATCCGATTGATCTTCCCGCCCGTCTCCTCGAGGAGGCATGCCATCTCGGGTAGGTTCCATATTGACGGGTATGGGTCCTCCTCTGGGTCCGCAGGGTGCTCCATCAAGCCCAGGCCTCCAGCTCGACACACCTCGCGGACCGCCTGCATGGCCGACAGCAAAAGGCGCGACCCCAGGTCCAGGCGGAGGCGCTCGAAGGCTGTGAATGACATGTCGCTCCGCCCCCAAGGCTCGAGGCGTGTCCGTAAGGGCCTGGGCCCCTTCCCCAGGAAGCGAGCCCGACTCCAAGTGGAGCATGGGGGCGAGGCGATCACTGCGTGGAAGTACCCGTCGCGCGCCAGGCTCAGGATCAGGCTGACGAACTCGTCGTTGGTGAGGTTGTGCTTCGGGTTGATCACCGCGTCGATGGACCAGACCTCGGCTTCGTAGCCGTCGAGCTCCGCCCGCGAGTGGATGGCCTCCTCTAGATCCCCCTCCCGGCGCCTGCCCGCGAAGAGGTACAGCACCCGGTAGACCCTCCGACTTACCCGCGGCGGCGGTGCAGTCGAGGCCTCGATAAGCTCGTCGACATCGTAGGCACACCCCCCAGCATGGGGGACCCAGGCGTCCTCCTCCTGGGCTGTGTAGATATCCTCGGTGGCGATCGTCCATCCCCTCATCTCGCTGTAACGGGCGTCCTTCCTGATCTCCTCCAGCGAGGCGTCGGTGACCGCCACTCCGTAGCCCGTGTCGCTGGAGTCCGTCATGAACACCTGCGAGAGCCACGGAGCTTCGAGATCTGTACGTAAGAGGGGTGCGCAGTACGCCATCGTAGTCAGCTCCCACCTCGCCGCGTCCGTCAGTCGGAACGGCGTCTTGGCGGTCTCGGGGCGTCTCATCTCGTGGTACACCTGGTCGAAGATGGCAAGGCCCGTGCGCTGGAAGATGGCCGCCCACGCCCACAACCCCACGACACGCTCGAGGAGCTCCGCGGTCCAGTACGTCCGCTCTACCAGCCGCAGCGTCACCAGAGCCAGGCCGCAGGTGCGGTCGGTCTCTGCTGAGACGGAGTAGGGTCGGCCTCGGATGACCGCCCCCAGCGACTCGAGCCCCTCGCCCTCGGACTCCTTGTGGACGGGGAGCCCGACCTGCCTCAAGTAGTGCTTGACTCGGGCCGTCAGTCCGCTCACGACCTCGCTCACTGGCTGCTGCGCGCTGGCGGACGTGGCCATGACTCCGTAGTCGCCCATGTATGCCCAGTTCACCGACTCGAACCCCTCGGGCCCGGTCAGTTGAGGCGTCGGAGCCCCGTAGACCAGGCGAGCCCCGACGGAGTCCTCCCCGAGCCCGAGCGCCATGCAGGCCTGCAACGTAGAGTGGGCCAAGAACGGGCCCACGACCAGCCCATGACCAGGACCTTCAGCGCCAGGAAGGGCCCGCCATCGAGGGTGACGCAGTCCCGCCCTTTGGTCCTCATGTACTCGACGAACTCGTGGACTGGCACCTCCTCCAAGACAAAGTAGGGCCAGACATCGGGCGGCGTCTCCAAACGATAGAACATGTCTGGGATGTCGCCCACGCCAGTGTAGACCACGTCCCTCTCGCCCAGGTTGGAGAGGTCCACGTGAGCGAAGGTCGCGGGGCTGCCGAGGGGCACGTACGGGGGCCTCTGCCAGCGGAGGTTGGCCCGCCTCTGGTCCCAGATGGCGCGCACCTGGCGCCTGGCGGGGCTGAGGGGGTCCCCCTCCTCCTGCAGGTACTTCTTGATGACTCCAAAGAGCGAGACCCCCTCGACCATCTCGTCGGTGGTCCCGAGCACCCCCGCATCCCAAAGCCTCTCGGCTAGGCGGAGACGCGACGCCCTCGAGCGGAGAGACGGATCTCGGTAGACCTTCTGGCCCTTCAGCTCCTCGTCCATGGCCTTGCTGGGCTCGCGTAGCATCCTCCCCGCAACGTCGGAGAAGTACTCGGCAGCCAGCGGGCAGATGTCCACGAGCTTGGCAGGGATGGTCCCTGGCGGCGGAAGAGCCAGTTCCTCCACGTCGACGGAGCACATCGCGCCCTTTGGTAGCATCTCCCTTCCCTTTGAATCCTTTCCCAGGGCAGCCGTAGCCCCATCGCCTGAGTATGGCGAGGCCCGACCGGCCATGACGCGCCGAAGGGCGGCGTCCTCGTCTTCCTTGATCGCGGCCACCTGGCTGCCCCTAGCTAGCCACGCCTCCAGTAACCTCCTCGAAGTAGCCCTCTGGAGCGGTGTTGCCCGCTCCCACGCAGCCGACGGCCCAGCACCCTCGGCCGCTCCGACCGTGCCCCGCGCGAGGTGGTGCATGGATCGGATCAGCCCGTTGGCCAGAGCTCGCACATGTCTCAGTGTGCCATGATGCATCGGCCCCGCGCGGTCCACCACCACCGACCGCGGTAGTAGCGGCAAATCCGGCAGAAGGTCTCGGTCTCGAGGAACGGCTTCGGGAGGCGCGCCTGTGGCCGCCGTCGAGGTAGAGGATGGAGAAGTGTGTGGATGGAGAAAAGCGGGCATGGCGTCGCCTCCCGAGGGGCGCAGGGCCACGCGAAAAGATCGTCGCGACAAGCAGCAGCGTCACCGTAGCTATCGGGAGAGTAAGCCCACCAGAGTGGCCGTCGTCAGGGCGAACGGAACGGTAAACCGCCAGCCCCTCCCTCAAGCGCGGGGAGCCCCGCGAGGCACCACAGACAGGGAGAGTTTCTCCAACGTCTACTCGTCCTCCTCCTTTACTGCGTCCGAGCCCCCTTTTCTGCAGATGCTTCTGGAAGAGAGCCTTCTGCTGCAGCCTGGCCGTCAAGTCGCGCTCCACGCCTGGGAGCGCCTCCGCGCCCTCCGTGAGAGATCTCCAGTCCAGCTCGTTCGCGAGGTCCCAGCGCACCTTGGACTTCCACTTGTTGGCCCCGCTGCCCCGGGGCTGCTTCCAGTCGTTGATGCATGCCACGTCCTTGAACGCCCGCTTCAGAGCATAAGCTCGTGCGCATAGGATCTCGCAGCCCGCCGTCTGGATGAACTCGGGCGAGGCCTCCAGCATCCGGTCCAGCGTCATGCAGTGCAGCATCATCTCGTGGCCGATGTGGTTGCGATTCAGCTCCTTGAGGCGAACCCAGTCCGTCGCGAACTTCACCATGCTGCCGTACTTCCCGTAGGTCTGGACCAACAGCTCGGGGGCCACGCGGGAGGTGAGGCCCGCTGGGAGGGTGAATGTGGGCGGCGCATCGATCTTCGAGAGGTTGGCCAGCAACCTCTCCCTGGGGTCCCGGAGTGCTTCCCGCAAGGGCTCGAGGCTCACCCCCGCGCCCTCCAGCGTCTCTTTCGTCCCCAGGTCGATGGTAGGGCACGTCGTAGACCCCGCCGTGGCCGACGTGGATGAGGCGTCCTGCAAGGGCTTGCATCCCGGAGAGGCCTTGTCCGCATTGATCGTGTCCTCGAAACGCTTCAGCCGGTCGATCATCCTGTCTACGTGCATGTCCATGCTGGAGTCCGTGTTGACACTGGGGACTCTCTCCCAGCTGGCGTGACTGCTCTCTCCAGGGGACGCGGCCGATGAGGCACTCCGACTCGTGGGGGCGCGTGGCGACCCCGACCTTGATTTGGTGATCTCGTCGAGCAGGTTGCTCATCATGGCCTTCATCTCCTGCATGTCCTTGGCGGGCTCGGACTCGTCCGGCGACCCCGCCACCGAGTGGCCCGCCTCCCCGTCGCTGTCCACGTCGCTCACTGGAGGCGAGGCCCCCGCGAGCAGAGGGGAGGGGCGCTGCCTGCAGCGTCGCAGGAGGTTTGGCCCAAGAGCCACCACCGCGGTGAAGATCATGATGGGAATCTCGAGCTTGCCGTCCTGGTAGAGGTCGTGCAGATATCCTCGGAAATCGTCGATCTCGAGTATCATGTTGTGGCCGTCCTCGAGCTTCTCCACGGACCAGCGCATCCACTGCCACAGGTTGCAGTAGACCGCCACCCTCCAGAAAAAGAAGGCGGCGCCCGCCGTCGACCCCCAGTTCCACGTGCTCCATACGCCAACCAGACCAGAGCGAAACCAGGACAGCGAGGCAACGTAGCCGCGGATGTTGGACAGATACAGCTCGGCCTCGAGCTGCTTCTCCTTGGCCTTCTCCAGGATGTCCGCCTTCTCGGGGGCCGTGAGGGTCGGGAACGCCTCGTAGTCCCAGCCTGGCTGTCGACGACTTGACATCTTCGCCCGATCCTTGATGTCGCCCACGCCGAGCGCGCGGTCCGGCTTCACGTAGATCCACCTCGTGTCGTTCTTCTTCTTGGGGTACATTCGCATCGCCAGGAGGACCACCTGCCCCCGCTGAGGGCCAGTCGTCCGATAGAAGCGGCTCCATCGCGTCACGCTGGACATATGCAACCGTATATAGTCGTAGAAGCTGAGCCGCTCGGACTCTCTCGTGTACCTCAGGGACGCGTCGTCCTCGGGCTCCACGAGCGGCTTCGAAAGGACAGAGTCGAGGACCCCCCAGTCCCCGATGTACGAGAGCAAGGCAGCACTGGCGAGCCACCACCGCCTCGCCGTGGTGCCGACGATCAGCGCCCGCGCCGCGAGCACCCACGCTGGCGGGGCAGAAGGGCGAGCGCGCGCTCCTGGCTCGAACGATCTCGAGCCAGAAAAAGCTTGAGCGGACACGAAAGACAGGCAGGGCAGGACGGGGGATATAACCTGCACAACTATCTTACACGGCCCACCCCACCACACCACCCCGAGACGCGATCAATTAAGTTTGGAAAACGATCATGCCTGCTTGACGGTGGCGTCCAACCTGACGCTGGAGCCTTCGCCTGGCACGGGTTGCACTTGCAGCTGTTGAAATAGGGCGCTCGCATCTTACTGCAGCTCGCTCAGCCCATTGGGTCCACGTCGGAGCTCCCGAGCGCATCGCAGAGTCTATGGACAACGCCAATGGTCTCTTGCAAATTCTGGGCGAGCCGAACCCAACCCGAACTCGCATTACCCCCTCGTGGCCTTCTTAGGCTTGGCGAATATCGGCACCCGCCGAGCTTTGAGAAAGGGCCCCCTGTGCCCCTTGCGAGCGATCTCCACGCCATGGAACGATTCGAATTTCAAGCTCCAACATATTCGCAAACACTTTCCAAGCCTGCGTGAGGAGAGCCCAGGCCTGTCCAACTGGAAGAGTGACCGCAGCGTCTGCAGCAGTCTCGGCCAGGCACCCGGGCAAAGTCCAATCTCGAGGGCACGGCGTAGGTCCCACAAGCAGCTCAACAAGTAACTTCTGATGAGCGTGGTAGCTAAGTTGATGCAAGTGAACCGCTTTGCCACGTAATTAAAAACAAAACTGGCCTGCGGGGCCTGGTCGTCCAACTCATCGCCGCGTCTATGCTCTCGACGGCTCTGGCCATGCTCGTGCTGGCCATGAAAAAGTCGATGGTGGTCGCGGCCGTCGGCGAGATACAGGTGCGCAGGTGCGCTGCTTGGGGACAACAAGCGCAGCGTCCAAGCGTCTCGGAAGTCCTGTGCTGCCCACCAAACTGGGTTCAAGGTTCCAGTCAGCTCCTACCAGGAAGTGATGCTCTCGTTCGAGAGAGGCGCGTATTTTCTTAAGCACCCCGAGGTTGAGGTCACAGAGCCCAGTGCCCGACTGAAGGTGCGCACCCGCGACAACAAGAGGAAGCCAGGACGGGATGTCGACAACGGCGTTTATGATCCTACCTGAAACCACAGTGCCAGATCCACCCGCGGGCCATCGCAGCCCTCAGGTCTGCCTCGCCAAAATGCGCACCCCCCCCCAACTTTGGTTGCCCAGACAGTCCTGGGATGGCGGGGGGCGCGAGCATCATCCAGCCCAACTTGGCGCCGCATCACATTTTGCACCCACAGTGTCCTCCAGGGAGCCGACCTCCTGTGCCATGAGGATGAGGGCGGAGGGCGTCGCCAGGCGATCACGCAGCGTCCGCCGAACATTTCCATTGTAGCTTTCGAAGCATTCGCCACCGCCAAGCATCCCAGGTCCAGGCTCAGTGAGAGGAGGTGGCGGAGGTGGTATCGGCGCGCCGGATTGAGATAACGGCAAGCCGCTGCATCTGGGAAGGGGCACAATGTTCCCCCAAGCGCTGTTTTCTAAAGTTCACGAAGCCGCTCACTGAGCGCTCTCTTGTCGACCCGCTGGGCGCTGAAGTGCACTGCCTCGAGGTCTGCGTCATCCCATTCAAGTACTGGTTGCTATTCAGCTCGCCCGCCATGGTCGTGAAAAGGGATCAGCAAGGGCTCACGGAAGGGAGACGCAACTGTTGCGCCTTCCATGCGTGCATCCCCTGCGGCGTCCACGAACGGTGACGGTGCTGAAGGTTTGCGCGTCTGCTTCTGCTTGCCCAGGATATCTCTGAACTTGATGAAGGCTGCCAGAAATTCTGGCATCTCTCGTTTATCGTCACACTCAATCTCTTCAAGATTGATGCGCGAAGATGCTGAAGTTGGTGCCGGAACTGGCATAGTCTCCACATGCTTCTGACAGAGGAGCACCAGCTCCTTTTCCACGGCTTTCTCTTGCGCGAGCAGGCTGTCCATTTTTTCTTGAGCTTGCTCGATGAGTAGACGTTGCTGCTGGACTTCTGCCACCAGGCGGTTCTGAGTTGCCTGAGCCTTCGCAAGCTTATGTCCAATCGCCGTGTGCTGAGAAATAACTGGTTTGCACCCTGACAATGTTTGCCGTGTGTCTTGTAGCTGCTGTTCAAGTTCGCCTTTTGTCTACGTCCCATTGCCACAACGCTCAACCATTCTGATCGTAATCTTCTTGATCTGATCACGAAGTTGTTGCTCTCTGCTTGCCTCTTGTCCAGTAGAAGGTTGACCACTGCCTCCACCTGCTTGAGGTGGTTGACCACCACGACCGAGATTGCTGCCGCCAGTGCCACTGTTGCCACCGACGAACTTCTCCACAGCCTTGGCCAAAGCATCGAGTTTGTCTTGAAGGGGGTCACGCCTTCCAGGTGCACCAAGAGCACGCCGAGGAGGGCGACCGTTAGCATTGCCATTCGGGTTGGTACCATTACCTTGTCCTTGGGCTTGTGTAGCGTTGCGGCGAGCAGCAGCCACGACCTTGGCAGGGGCTGCTGCACCACAGCGGCAGGTGATCTTCGAAACCCAATTTGCATTGAAGCCGCAGCATCCGCATGCCCAGTATGGGGACCGAGGGCGTGGTAGGATCGGCCCGGCGCCATCGGACATCACCCGAGCGAAAACAACGTAGAGGAGTGCCCCGCCAGGAGCTAACTGTAAGCTTAGCGAGGGTCGGGGCCTGAAGGAGGGGCTGCCCTCCACCTCGCCTCGAGCCTCTGGAGTCGGGACCCACGGTGAGGGCCGTGAGACTTGAGCCAAAATGGCTACGGGAAGGGCTGCTCGTGGCGTCACCTGGTTGGTTTGGGTATCGAATTGACGCGGCTCCCTACAGGTTTGGAAAGGAAGTCTGTTGTTGTAGGTATTGGAACGTTCTGTGCTGTTTTCCCGAATCCGCTTGTCTATATGGGCTGTATATTCCCTGAAAAGTGCTTGCACTTCGGGTTCCCTACCTGTCTCCCTGAAGAATTGGTGGGGTATGTCGAGCATTCGCCGCGTCGCCGCCCGGTGCCCCCTCCTTGCAGCCCACTCGTTGCCGCCGCCCGTCGCCGCCTCGGGGGGTATGTCGAGGATCCGCCACAATGCCGCCCGTTGCCGCCCGCTGCCGCCTCGGGGGGTATGTCGAGCATTCGCCCCGTTGCCGCCCGTTGCCGCCTCGGGGGGGTATGTCGCGGATTCGCCCCGTTGCCACCTGTTGCCGCCTCGGGGGGAGTGTCGAAGATTCGCCACGTTGCCGCCTCGGGGGGTATGTCGAGCATTCGCCCCGTTGCCGCCCGTTGCCGCCTCGGGGGGTGTATGTCGAGGATTCGCCACGTTACCGCCCGTTGCCGCCTCGGGGAGTATGTCGAGCATTCGCCACGTTGTCGCCCGTTGCCGCCCGTTGCCGCCTCGGGAGGAGTGCCGAAGATTCGCCACCTGGCCGCCATTCGCCGCCCGTTGCCGCCTCGGCGTGTACGTCGAGGATTCGTCACGTTACCGCCCGTTGCCGCCTCAGAGGGTATGTCGAGGATCCGCCACAATGCCGCCCGTTGCCGCCTCGGGGGATATGTCGAGGATTCGCCCCGTTGCCGCCCGTTGCCGCCTGTTGTCGCCTCGGGGGGAATGTCGAGGATTCGCCACGTTGCCACCCGTTGCATGTCGAGAATTCGCCAAGTTGCCGCCCGTTGCCGCCTCGAGGGTGTGTCGAGGATTCGCACAGCTCCCGCCCGTTGCCGCTTCGGGGTGTGTGTCGAGGATTCGCCCCGTTGTCACCCGTTGCCGCCATTACCGCCTCGGGGTATGTCGAGGGTGTGTCGAGGATCCGCCAAGTTGCCGCCTGTTACCGCCTCGGGGGTACGCCGAGAATTCGTCGAGCTGCCGCCCGTTGCCGCCTCGTAGGGTATTTCGAGGACTCGCCACGTTACTGCCCGTTGCCGCTTCAGGGAATACGTCGAGGATTCGCCACGTGGCCGGCCGTTGTTATGTGCCGTCTCGGGGTACGTGGAGGGTGTGTCGAGGATTCGCCACGTTGCCGCCCGTTGCAGCTACAGCACATGACTTATTCCTCGGAAGTGCACTTGCTCAATGTTTGGGGTCCGCGCTGGCAAACACATATATGTGCATATCTGTAGCTATATGTCTACATGCATCTGTACACGAGCACACACACACACACACACTTCTTTAGGGTCTAGTAGGTGAGGTACCGCATCCAGAATCGGTCGGGTGGCGACGATTTCTCCCATTGTTTCCCGTTGCCTCCCATTGTCTCCCGTTGTCTCCTGTTGCCTCCCGTTGTCTATTCCTGTCCCTATCCTTACCCGTATCCCTATTCATATCCCTACCCCTATCCCTATCTCTCTGCTCGATCTTTTGTATCCCCACTCCATGCCACTATTGCAATCTCCCTATCGCTGTCTCTATCCCAATTCCTATTCCTATATCGCTGTATGACTATCTTCCTGCATCCCTATAGCCCCCCGCGCCATACCTCCCTAGCCCTATATCTTCATACCTACCTCTATCCCCATTCCTATCCCTATCCTCCCATCGTCGCCCCCAATCGTGGTTCCCCATCTTGACCCCCCATCGAAACTGCGTAAAGCTGCTTAGGGTCTTCTGCCGCACAGGTGTCATCGAGGTTTCTAAAGGCTTTCGAGTTGGGGGGAGGGGTGGAGGAGGGAGGATGAGAAGGAGGGGGGAGGACGAGGAGGAAATGGAGGATAAGTAGAAGGAGGAGTAGGAGCAGAAGGAGGAGGAAGAACAGTGTGTCCCAGCCTGGGACAGACGGCGCCAGGACCGTCGAGGCCGCCCGCCTTGAGATATGGCTTTCGCAGACCCTGCAGCCTGCGCGTCTCACGTCGACGTGGTGGTCACGGCTGCCTCGGCGCAGGGCGCGGCGGCGGGCCGGAGCCGCGCCGTCCGGAACGGCGCTGCCGCGGTGGCCCGGGAGGAGCGGAAGCACCGCCGCCGCCTTGGCCTGGAACTCTGACGGCCTTCTCGC